CCTGAAAAACAACACTTTATGTGGTATCCTGTGCACAGATGCATAAATTCCACCTAATCATAGGAAGCATTAAATAAACCTAACATAAGAAATATTCTATTAAATAATGGATACACGTCTTGCATTTTTAAAACATGGCAATTTTATAAAGAAAAAAAGGCTCTTTTCCAAATTAAAAAAAAAAAAAACAAAACTAAAGAGATACAACCAAAGAAATACTGTGTATTAATCTTTCTTGAATCATTTACTACAGGAATAAAACAAAATGTAGTAAAAAAGAGAGAGAGAGAGAGAGAACTGGCAACTGAACATAGTAGGCAGATTAGGTCTCAAGTATCAATTCAATACTAAGTATTATTGTAAAGTTCTTAACAGGTCATAATCATGTATAGAATTATGTTTTACTAAGAGTGTTGGGTAAGTCAAGAAAAATAATTGTATAATCCACGAAGTAACAAAGGAAGAAATTAGTGGATAGTTTCAACATGTTCCATGTCACATAAGCTTCATATGAAGGGTAAGACTTAGAGTCCAGATAGAAATGAGAAAACTGAGGAAATCAGGGACCTCAGCTGGCAGCTGTTATTCCAATTTCAGCAGGAGGACACTTTTATCCACAGCCTGGAGGGCACACAATGAGTCATGGGCTGCTTGAAGAGACTGGCATTAGAGACAGTCTAACCTGAAGTAGAGAAAGAAAAGGAATGAGAGTAGAGATAATTTCTATAAAGTAAATCTGAATAAATGCAATTTTTTTCTAAATAAATTCTGATAGATTCTGTGCATATATTGCTCCAGCCCATGTTTACCCTCAACTCTCCTTAAAGGAATTTCTCCTTTACCACCCTCCTGTCATCTCGGAATTAGCACTACCATTGTCAAGGATAATTCATTCCATTTGGCAATTCTCTTGATTTCTTAATAACTAAAATGCTACCCCCACTTATTGTGAGATTACCACATAAATATCAGAGTGGTCCATTAAGGAGGTAGCAAAAAGCAAACTTCTTACTCTGGACAGGACAGACATAGAAGAAAAATCATGTGGAACTTGACACTGTCAGCCACAATTTCTCCATTTTGGTGAAGGGTGTAGACAAACAGGGCAGCCACAGCATCCAGATCAGCACTGATGCTGATGGGGAATGAGAAGTTCCCATTCCAGGCTGGGTAAACAGGAGATCAACAGATAATGCCCCAAATTCCTTGCATTACTGGATATGCTTAGATAAAAGAGAATGGCTATGGATATAAATCACAAATTAGGCTTTTTTTTAATGCAAACAAATCAAATAATGCCAACTACAAATGAAAAATAAGACCAGGTAATGTAGGGAATTAGAATACTCTGGTTTTGGAAATTCTTTTTCTGTAATATACTCGATGACCTGGGAATAGGAGAAAGAGGTCAAATATTTAGTAGCTTTCTTTAAGCCATCCTATTTGCACTCTGTCCTCAAAATGAAATAAGTGTTCTTCCTAACTTCTAGACTCTCTAATATTTCCTCAAAGAGAAAAAAAGATAAAGTACATATTTATAAATGGTTGCATTATGTACACTTTTGTTTTTGATTTCCTTTTGTCCACAAAGGAAGATGGCTCCTTTCACCACCATCTGTGCAGGACAAAGAAAACACACTATGAGATCTATTGCCTAATATCATATCATATTATCATTATATAGTGAATTACCTCATGATAATTCTGTTACATAAGATACGGAAGCTTCCACAAATTAAAAGTGAACTTGGCACATTTGAAGAAGAAGAGAAAGTAACCACAATGGATTGGGAGCCTATCATGGACTAGAAACTCTGTGAACAATGTGAAATGCACTGTAGGAGGAGGAGAATTTTATCCAGACTTTCTGGCTCTGAATATGCCTTCATCTAAACTCTAACAACTATATGATTTAAGACACATCCTTCCACCTATTTGCCTCTGTTCCATTAGCTGTAAAATGGGATTTCCGTAAAGCTGATGAAGCCAGCCAGCACATACAAGGGCAGTGCCTGACATGGAATCCTCACCCTAGGAGGGAATACTTATCATTTCTAATTACATATGTATGTCTGAGGAAACCAAGGATTAAGGAGTTTAAATAACCTTCCAAGATAAACTAACTTGTGTGATTAAGAGGAGAGGGTGGGGGCTGTGTGTGGTGGTGACTCAGGAGGCTGAGGCAGCGGGTCACAACTTCAAGGCCAGCTTCAGAAAAATTGCAAGGCCACAAGCACCTTAGTGAGACCCTGTCTTAAAAAAATAAAAATAAAAATGCTGGGGATGGAGCTCAGTAGTAGAGTGACTCTGGTTCCAGTATCCAACACCGCATCCCCCTACCCCAGCTTCCCCCACAAAAAAAAAAAAAAAAAAACAAGAAAAGAAGAAGACAATGACAACAATGAACAACAAGAGGCAACAAGAGGGTGGAATTCAGACTGGAAATTCCTTAATTTCCAAGTCTGTTTGTCACTCTCCAATATGCCCTGAAGACACAAAATGGATAGACTCAAGCCAGCTAATTCCTTTTACCTCTTATCAAAATGAAACTTCTATTTTATTTTTTGATCTGCCTAATGTTGTACTATTAAAAAGGGTTATAAACGCCTGATATGATAATAATTGAATGCCAGCCGCGAGGCCTCAGCCCACATTGGAGGCATGAAAACTCTGCAGAGGCAGCAGTGACTGCAGCATGCCCCTGGAAATGTTGGCATGGACTAGCCACAGATGGAGCCCATCCCTGTGTGCAAGGCAAGCAGTGACCCCAGGGTCAGGGACCCTGAGCCTCTGGACCCACGAACCGCCGCCAGGGGCGCTGTCCCGCGCAGCAGCCTGCAGCCCTGAGAGGGGCCTGCGCTGGGGGCAGAGAAGCAGCTGCTTGGGGTGAATCAGAGGGCGGTGGCTGCCTTAGGGAAGGGCGCAACTGGCACCTTCCATGGCGCCCTTTGGCATAGCGCACGACTCAGCAGAAGGGAGGACACACTGATGGCGCACAAAGCACTGGAGCGCGTGCCCCCCAGTGGCCAACAGACTCCGGGTTCTGAGCATCTGAAGATCCTAAGTCCCTGAGAACTCACAGGTCCTGGGGTCCTGTCAGGGATCTGTCCACAAGTTATCACAGGCCAAGACTACCCCATTTATGATTCTGGGTTCCAATGCCTGCCAATGCATGTAGGCATGCTGTCTCAGCTGCTTGGAAATGGTTGATTCCAATATTGTGCTTTTCATTCCTTATAATTCCTGCCAGACCCACAAATGCTTTTCTCTAGGGGATCCAAAAGCCTTTTAAAATTCCTATGAAAGAAGGATGTTTCAGGGAGAACCTAGGAGCCATTCCCGTGCCTATGTAAGTTGTTCTTCATTTCATTCAGTAATTCGTGTTTTGGGGCAATACTAGTGAATGACCCCGGGACCTGATGCTTTCATCCAAGTTAAGGGTTCCTCCACTGAGCTATGACCCTTTGCATATCTGCCTCTCCCTCACTCATTCCTCTCTCCCTCTGCCCCTGCCCCTCCCCCCCAGGGCAAAGAGATTGAATTCAGAGATGCTCTACCACTTAAATAATTTCCGTTTCTTGTATGTGTTTACATCCACATGTACTTTTTACTTTTGCAGTAGCTTTCCATTATTTGGCCAGGCTGGCCTTGAACTTGCCATTCTAAGGCTCATTTCCCCTGAGTGACAGTAGAGCTGGGTGCCACCTCTCCTAAGTACACACAGTAAAGCTGAGCCCAGCAACATGCCATTGTTTATGAAGGACCCACTCTGGGTGTGCATTGTGCATGCTGGATATTTGATATTCAACTAAACACATGAGATATTATTGCTTTGCCATGCAGGCTGATGCCCATCTTCCATTCTAATGACCGGGTTAGCTGTGGAAGTAGCATCATGAGTCCCTGGCCAGTCTGGGCCAATGCGCAACCCTGTCTCAAAGTGAAATGAAAAAGTGGTGGGAAATAGAGCTCATTGCTTACCTATCCTGTGTGACAACGTGGGATCCATCCTCACTAATATGAAAAAAGCCAAAAACAAACAAACAAACAAAATACATCCAACAAAGGAATAAAGAATTGGAAAAGACATAGAATTGGAGAGATGGACAGATTTAGGGAAGCCTGTACAGTGGCTGTGGGTTAGCCAAAGCATGCATTTAGGTTAAAATTTATAGCAAGTGCCCAAGAAGAAAAGGAAGGGGAGAGAGGACCCGGGGACACAGCACAGCAGGTGAGCATGGAGCTTTCTGAAGGAGGTGAGAGGCACTAGAGCAGAAGGGGCACCACAAGGTGAGTTCAGGGCAGCAGTAAAGGGAGGACCAAGGGCAAGAAGAGTTCCAGTTAGCAGGGTGGGGCATCTCTTCCGGGGCTTACTCTGTGCAAGAGAAATCCTGGGATTCTACTGAAGGAAAAGGGCCTAGGGGAGCATGCTTCATGGCTACAAGGTGGCAGAGGTGGGACACAGGCCTGTTGTGACTGCAGAGCCTCTTCCTAGGGGCTCCAAAGGTGGACGATGTTAGATGGTGTGCAGGCATAGAAAGCTGGCAGCCATCAAGGCTGCTGTGGGTTTCATTCCTTGGTGGCCCAGAGTGAGGCGAGCCAGGGCATGGCTGGCCCTTTTGGGGGAAGCTGAGGAATCTTTGCAATGCAGAGGGCTGCTTCTGGAGCCCAGCTGCTGTTCACTCAGGCCATTCATGGACCCAAGGCCAGAACTGGCCCTAAACTCTTCAGAGCATGGCTTCACCTGAGTGGACTCAATGCTCAGGGCCATGCCTGGGGTATATGGCCATGAGAGCAGGAGGCCTGTTTCCAAAGAAGAATCCTCTGCTTCATGGGCAGGACTAGCAGGGGATGAGGGTGTTCCACAGAGGCATTGTCTGAATCCACTGTGTGGATGGATCGCTGTCTTCAGCTCCACATTCAGACTCTGAAAGTGAAGGCTAAGTCCTCCAAGTCCTGCCAGGCTCTCTCCCAAGTCTGGGATGGGAATGTATTTCAGCATGGGGCCAGGACTGGTGAAACACCTGTGGGCTCCTTTCCGGAGCATTAGCCTGTGTGTCACAACAAAGCAGGTAGGGAGACCTTGGGTGACCCTCGTGGATGAGCTGAAAAATGTGTGGACTTTTCAGTGAGGCAGTTGAACCTAGGCCAGCAATCCTTCTCTCCCCAGACAGAAATCGGTGCCATGAGATACATTTATTCCCCACAGTCCAACAGTAGCTTTCACAAGAGGATTGGAAATGGAGTCAGGGCCTGCTTGCCTCTCAGAGGAAGTTGGTTGTGATGTAGGAAACTGGAACTGAAGTCTCTGTCCACAGCAGGGGGATGAAATTCTACAGGTGTAAATCCTTGAAGAAAGTGTAGACTCCTTCTTGTGTTTGGGAGGGTTCTGTGAAGATCAGAGCCATTTTGAGTCGCTTCCCCAGAAGTGGCCACCAAAGACAAAAAATCCCCAGCTGCCCTTGTCAGCTTCAGGGTTGTATTTAGTGACAGGGTTCCTGACTGGATTTCCTCCTATCACAGGTCCCAAAAGGGCATGAGAGGCTGGTCCAGGGCACTTTCTCCTTCCCAAAGAAACTGAGTGGTCTAGGGGATGTAATCACCTGAGGCCAGGAACTGAATGCCTGTAGCTTCAGGACACAAGAGGGCAGGATTTTCCATTCCTCTAACTTCAATGGGGCTTCAAACTCAGGGGCCATTTCCTGTTTTCCAGTGGAATGAAGCCTCAGGGTGGGCCAAGCCCACCAGCCAAGCCCTCCAGCATGAGGATTGCCCAGGTGGTTCACACATGCATGGGCACATACAGGTGATGAGCATCTCCAAAGCAGAGGGTGGAAGGATCCTGAGGATATATTAGGAAGCTCTGGAGAGCCTGTGAGGCCCCCTGGATTCTTGAGACTCACACCTAAGGTCAGAAGGAGGAGATGGGTCTGAACCCAGCTCTGTCTCCCCCAACCAGGGCAGTTGCTGGCAAGACCTGGATCTTCCTGGGGAAGAGATCCAGGCTGTGTTGGCAGAATCTGTCCACTTTTGCATAGGCCATGGAAGATGGCAGCAGCCAGCACCCCAGGTGGCCTTTGGAACCATCTTGTGTGAAAAAGGGACTCAGGTAAGGAGTCCCAGAGGAAGTGACCTCACTTCCTTGGCGATGGAACATATAGAACTTGGAACCCTCCTAGCTAGGTCCCAACAGTCCACCTCCAGCCCCTGTCCATTCACTTGCGTTGACAAGACAAGCAGAGAGCCATGAGCTCTTATGGTCCGTGGAGGCGCTGGCTCAGCCGTGGGTCCAGAACACTCTGGCGATTTTTCACAAGGACACTGGAGGTGAGACAAGACAGAGAGTTGCAGGTGACCAGAGTCTAACCTGCTTCTGCGACTCCCCTTGGGACAGCCTCAGAGCCTCACCAAATGCGAGTGGGTGTGGGTGCGTGTGTTTCCTTCATTTCAACTGAGAATTAGAAGGAAAGGAAAGCGTTTTGTTTTGTTTTTCACTTGAATGTATGACAGTGAGACATTGTGCAGATGATACTGTTTCCTGGTTGAAATGTCCCTCTTTGATCCCTGAAACTAGGGAGGTGACAAGCGTTCGTCCCTGGCTGTGTCCCGTCTGGTGGACAGTTTCACCTCACTGGTCCGCCAGGAGTTGGAGAAGGACCTCGTGAACGTCCTGCAGAGGGGGCACTCTTCCTGGCTGGAAGGATTGTTGTGCAGACGCCCAAAGGTGCTCAGCATCCAGAAAGTGCTGGAGCTCCTCAGTCAAAAGTGTGTATGACCTCCAGGCCCCGGGACATGGCCATCTCTTGGCATGGTGGATGGGATGCCGGGCACCACTCTGGACCTCTGGCAACTCTGTGGGATGTAGGATATTCACAGGAGAACCCCGCTGAAGTGTCGAGCCAACCAAGAAGGATGAGCCCTAGGAGTGTAGGTCTCAGGCCTTGTCCACTGGGCCAGGCTTCCAAGGCCTCAGGACTTCCCCCGGGGTGCCTGTCCTGCCCCTCTGGGGAACTCTTCTGCCTCAGCCCAACTGGACAGAGGCCTTAGGAAGAGCAGTTTGCATACTGGGGAAGGAGCATGTGGCTTGCATGTGGAAGGGCCCCTGACCTGCCTGGAGGCAGAGCGGGGACAGCTAGGGTGGATGGAGGGGGACCTGGTTGGGTTCATTCATGGGCCCAATAGATGTGAAGCACCTGCCCTTGGCAGGCACATGGCTTATCCATTAGGAAGCAGTGCACACACACCTCCCAGCTCTCCTGAGCTTTCAGTATTGGCAGAAAGTTAGTCAAAGCCACCAGGCGTCTTGGCACATGCAGGGCACAGGATATACGAGGTGACATTCTCCTGGCCTTCTCTAGGTATGAGGACCAGCAACAATGCATGGAGGAAGTCTTCCTACCGGGACAGATGTGAGTGGTTTGGGGGCCACGAGAGTGGGCTTCTGACTCCAGGGTCACTTGGGGAACCTTGGCAGTGGATGGGTGGGCAAAAACGCAGGCGTCCACCTTCTATGATTTGTGGCCCATTGATGTGGTCTGTTGATTTCCCTCTGGAGTGGGCACAGATAGCTGTGGTGGGATTCTGGGTAGCTAAGGACCGCAGGTGGGGCTGGCGTCTCAGAGCCTGGCCCTGTGAGCATCCCTCCCCTCCACAGCCAATCCCAGCCATAATGGCCCTCACTTTTCTCTATTGAGGCAAATGTGGGGAGCCCCCAATGCACAGGAGAGGGGAGCCTCTTACCCACACATGGCCCTCACAGGATGTCCCCCTTCTCGCCCTGCTGCATGGGACATGCTTGGCCACTCTATGGGAAGCCCATCATCCGGGTGGTCCAAAGGGGCTTCCAGCTCAAGGAGATGCCCAGTCGCTCATGGCTCCCTGCCCCACTCCTATGTCCCCAGGGCCTTCTGCTCCACTGTCCAAATGTGGCTCTACCTATACCCAGAAGATTTTGTGGGGTCCATGGACAGCCTGAGGAGTCTCAGAACCTTCTTGCTCCACACCATGCCGGAGTCAGGGCTGACAGTCCAGGTGGAGAGCCTCCTGACAGGACTGGAGAGCACAGATCCCAGTGAGTCCCAGGCTTGTGATGAGGGGGCCTCGGGTGGGTGACTGCATGTGTGTGTCCGGGAAACTCTGCCGCTCCTGCTGGGAACTGGCCTGTGGTCCCCAACCAAATACTCCTGACCCCACCTGCAGCTGGAGGGCCCTCGTCCGGGAAGAAGTCCTGGTGCCAGGATAGGGGCTGGGCTCTTCTCACAGCCAGGGTTCTTCTGAGAATCGGGAAAGACCCAGGGAAAGGCAGTCATGTTGGGGCTCTTTTCTCTTGCAGCTGCCTCTCCAGGAAAAACCTTCAATTAAACACGGCCAAACACCAGAGGCACCAGGTCACCCATCTCTCAGGCCAGCACCCACTCCACGTGTGCTGGAAAGTTGACACTGCCCTAGAGCTCATGTCTCCTCTGGCCCCTCTACCTTTGTGAGCTCTTGAGGACTACTGAGATCCAGATCCCCACCACGCCTCTCCTCTTCCTCTCCTCCAGAATTTTTTGGATTTCTAAAACTTATTTATTTACTTCCTTATTTATTTATTTATTACCTTGTTTGGTTTAAGGTTTGTTTTGTTGTTTTGGGGTTCTTTCATTGTTGTTATGGTTATTTCGCTATAAGTTTTCATTGTTGAGATAGGTGTGTTAAAAAGTATGTTAATAAATTTTTACATTGTGTGATATCAAGTTGCCTGCTCAATCCATTCCCAAGGCTGTGCCACCACCAACACTGTGTAGCTTCCATGGGAGAGACCCCAGAAGAGCACATGTGTCTTGTGGGGGGGAACACACAGGTCATTCTAGAGGAGGTGAGATAGAGGCCCCTGAGTATGGGGGAAAGGTGACTGCCTAAAAGGTTGAGGATTCCATGCCACCAGAAGGGGCTGCTTTTCTGGGGGCAATGTCCCTTAGGACCATGGACATGGAATGTAGAATCCGACAGAAGATGTGTCTTTGCCAGTGTGGTCACACTTAGGTCTCCTGCTCTCCAATGTGGAGTGGAACCACCACCCCCTACCTGGGTGGTGTAAACCCAAATGGAAATGTGATGGCACCTGGAATTACCCTGCCAACTCTGGGTCTCAGGCTTTGGGCACATGTCATTGAATCTATGCCAAGACACCATGTAGAATTAGAAGAGCACATGAGTTCGTGTTTAGGAGCCACATTTTCCTCATGCATAGCACTGAAAGCGTCATGGTTGACCTATTTCAAACAACATCTTTCTTCTTTCTTCCTTTTTTTGTTTTGTAAAGTCCTTAATAGTTGAGATATGTGAATATATTTCCTATCTTGAAAGCTTCATCATATATTATTATCTAATCTGTGCCTGACAGTGACTGTTAGTTTCCAAGAGGAAATGGGTGTATCCACAACTCAATTTTTCACAAATACTTTCTCCCCTACTTTAAAGGAATGAATTTTTCTTCTGGAAGCTCAGTATCACTTTGCTTTTTTTTATTTTTAATATAAAGCCTGAAGGAATAGAAAAGGAAGAAACTTACAACACACTGTCATGTGCATCAGGCAATTATACAAGTAGATAAAATTCTCATGTTAAGCCATTTACAAAGTATATAGATATGGAATAAATGTCCATTGGTCCATTCCTCCCTCTGAAAAACTCTCCTGTGAATAACTCTAAAGACATTTGACAAAGGACATCCTTTTTCTGACAAAAATCACTTAGTATTAGGCTCTATTTTCTCAGGGGAGTGAAAAAGAAATATTATTAGGGTATTAATTTTTATTTATTTATTTATTTATTTTAATTAGGTATATATGACAACAGAATGTATTTTGGTTCATTGTACACAATTGTAGCACAACTTCCCATTTCTCTGATTGTACACCATGTAGTATTGTACCATATGTGCAGTTAGTCATACATGTACCTAGGGTAATAATGTCTATCTCATTCCACCATCTTTCCTGCACCCATATCTCCTCCTCTTCCCTCACTCTCCTCTACCCAATCAAAATTGCTCCATTTTTCCCATGCCCCCCCATTATGGATCAGCCTCCACTCATGAGAGAGAACATTTGGAGGGTGTTATTATTATTGCCATATTTTAAGGATAAAGGTAAAAGGCACAGAGAATCGAGAAGACTTGCCTTAAAGCTATTGGCTAATAATAAGGACTAAAGTTGTTGACATATATTAGAAATTTTTCTAATATATCTGTATTTTAAAAACTTCTCCTGAAACTGTATTCAAAATATTTAAATATTGGTATGGTGCTTAATACTATTTATTAGTAGTATTTACTATTATTTATTATTATTACTATTTATTATTGAACTAGTAGTTAAAAATTACTCATATTTGTGTAAATCTATTAATTCCTGGGAAACTCTATGAAATTTACATGCACAAAAAAATCAGTATTTCACTAATATCATTAATGTAATCATATAAAATAACTACTACTAAAAATTTAATTCTGTGCCATCTAGTAACATTTTGAAGACAATGCACCATCTACACATCTTTTCTCTATGCAGATGCCCTCAACTTATTATGAAATTACAGTTCAAGAAACTCACCATAAATTGAAAACACCATGAGTCAAAAATGCATTTTGTACCAGGTGGGGTGGCACACACCTGTAATCCCAGCTGCTTGGGAGGCAGAGGTAGGAAGATCAGAAGTTCAAAGCCAGCCTCAACAATGGCAAGGAGCTAAGCAACTCAGTGAAAACCTGGCTCTAAATAAAAAAATACAAAATAGGGCTGGGGATGTGGCTCAGTGGTCAAATGCTCTTGAATTCAATCTCTTGTACCCCCCCCCCCCCCCAAAAACAAACAAACAACAACAAAAAAAAAAACTCATGCGTTTTGTGCACCTAACCCAACATCCTAGTTTAGTAGATAGTACAGAGTAGGGTGTCTATTTTCACCATCATGATCCCATGTCTGGCAGGGATCTGTGCTCAGTGTCATGGCCCAAAATTGCCAGAAAGTATCATATTGCATATTGCTACTCCAGGAAAAGATCAAAATTCAAATCCACAGTGTCTGTAGTTGCTACTGAATACACATCACATTTGCATAATGTTAATTCGATCATCATTTGTCAATCACTTCTAGGTTTGTAGCTTTAGTACCAACTATGTACTAGAGACCATAAAATTGACATTTTGATGCACATCTCCTTCCTGAACTCACAGCCATGATTTCCACTTCCCACTTATTATCTGCACTTACGGGCATGCAGGTCTAATAGCATGTTTAAAAAACAGAAGCTCTCCTCATTCCTATAATCTTACTTAACCCATAGTTTTCTCCATTTCAAGTAATGGAAATTTAATTTTTTCTGCTTTCTGGGCACAAAATTTTAGAGTTCTCCTTGTTTATGTTCTCTTCCACTCCACATCCAATCCATTCACAAATCTAGTGAGCTCCACCTTCAAGTAACATCTGAAATCTGCCCACTTCTCATCATGGGCACTTCTCTCTAGTCTTTTCTTCCCTGGCCTATCTCAATAACTTCCTCACTGCTCTCCTGATCATCTCCCCTTGTTTCACTACAGCAAAGGGATCCTTTAAAGCATATATCAGATCAATCAGATCATATCTTTCCTCTACCCAAACCCTTCAGGGGTTTTCAATGTTCCTCAGTGTTGAAGCCTAAATCTTTAATGGCACCTATAAAGCCTCATCTCATCTGTGACTTCATATCCCACTAATTTCCCCCTTGCTCACTCCACTCCAGTCACACTGCCCACTCTGTCCTCTTGGAATACATCTAAGATGCTCCAATCCCTAAATTAGGTTTAGTTTTGGTTCCTTTGTTCTGGAAGTACCTTTCCCCAGGTATCTATAATTATTACTTCCTGCCTTAATTATGGTGTCTGCTCACATACGATTTTTACCAGTAAGCCATTCAATAGGGAGCCCCCTCTCTCTCCACACCTTGCATTTTCTGATTATACATGGTTGACTAGCTCACCAGATAAACACTTGTCCTCTTCTAATTTTTTCCATAACACCTATCAACCTCTATCATACTACACATGTCCTTGCTTATTTACCTTACTCCAGAAGTTCAAGAAATTTATTTAAAAAATTATTATATCACTTCACTTAAAAGAAAACTTGGTACATAACACACAATACATATTTATAGAACAAATGTGATTATGTAAAAGCACTAACAATAGTAGAAATTAAAATCAGCCATGAAAGGAAGGTAATAATTATATCTTAAGGTCCATGCTTATAAGAAAGACCATAAAAATTAGCACAAATATATATGATTAGTGTGATTATATCATGATTAATTATAAATGTGATTATATATGATTAATTTTTCTAAGAGATTAATCATGTCTTCAGAAGAAACTTGGATTGCATCAAAAAATATGATAAAGTGTGTGAGAGAAATGAAAGGTTGAATCTGGATCATGTAGAAGAAAAAGATTTATAACAAAAACAGAACATTTCTCTCATTTGCCCCTCCCTTATATGTGTTTGTCTTCTTTCATTAGATAGTGGAGTGTCTGAAAAGATGTCACTGAGAGTTCCTTCAAATGTGGTTGAAGGATCTGCCAGGGCAACATATTCAGTTTTGGGTGAGTCTCTCAGATCAACAGAAACAGCTGTCTCTCTCCACAATTCTAGTGCATGGGCTCACTACCCAGGATTAATAAAATCACTGACACTCAGCATTGGATTAAAAAAAAAAAAAGAACACTAAGCTAAGGATTGCACTCTGTATCAGTTAGAAAAGGGGGTTCAATGAATGTTGTGTGACATGTGATGCCTGGATATAGTTTAAAACTTAAGGAGGGTCACAGTTCTGAACCCTCATCTTCAAGTGGTTTGCTAGGTGGCAATGCTTCCTAGTGGATTTTGAAATGGTTAGTAGTTCCATTTTACAAGATGCATGGTCCTTCAGAAAAGGTGTTGTCACCTGCCATTCATTTTTTGCCTGCTTTTTTAAACATCCTAGAAACATCTGTTTTCTCACCTTTTGCTTTTCTTTCATTTTTCTTTCTCACCTTTTGTGCTTTCTGGTTCTTCCCTTCTTAATTACTGTAGCATCTCAGTTATCTAGTCTTCTATTTTCCTAGGCCATCACAAACCACTTCTGTGTTCCTCTGATTTTCTTTTTTATGAATTTCATTACCCAGGAGATATACTAGGATCTGCAATGTACAACCTCCAGAATCTTTTAGATGCCCTATGGTTGTGGAGAACAAAATATGGTTCTTTTTGTCCCTAACATCTATGTCCTGAATTATCTGAATGAGACACAACATCTGACAGAGAAGATAAAGTCCAAGCCATCAGCTACCCTGTCAGTGGTAAGAGATTACCTCAAAAGAAGAAATGTCAATGGACCTCCTAACTATCTTGTGGTGAACTCAAATCAGTATCAGTATATTTACTTTTCTTGTGCTTTCTTCCTTGACCTCTGAGATATTTATAAATGCACCATTTAATTTTGAAATAGTTGACATGTGGGGTTAGGGTTCCAAATATATTTAGGTGATTGATTTCTAATGTAATAAATCATGAAGAAACACTGTCTGCATGGTTTCAAATTTTAAAAGTAATGGAAATGCTTTTTATATTGATTGTATTGGTTACATACATGTCAAAACTGATCAAATTGCACACTTCAAATATGTGCAGTTTATTTTAATTTAATTTTACCTCAATAAAGCTAGGGAAAAAATATTAGATAATTTTAGATTTTGGATAAAAAATAAAGATTTATTTTTTTCAGGGAACTAATCCCATGAAAGCATTGGTTTGGGAAGATTTGACCTATCTGTGCTCTCAGGGTCCACTAGGGAGAGAAGAAATGAAAGGCTAGAAGACAGGTAGAACATTAATTCATATATAGAAGAAACAGGCTGGAATTTGTCTGATGGTGGAGGAATGGAGAAAATGTAAGTTATAAATACTAACATTTACATATTTAACTCTTAAAATATGGTTGCATCATGCATTTAAGTTCCTGTACAGATGCATCTCTCCCAGCTGGTCCCACAAGCAGTTGGATTAGTTGGGAGGAGGTAGAGCCAGGTGGGTTTCCACAGCCAGATGTCCCCTGTGTAAACCTCTTTCCACATTTGATTTTCATCTGGTCACTTAAGCACACTCTGTGTTATGCAATGTGTGTGTGTACTGGGCCAATATTTTGAGCCAAACTTGGGTTTCTCAGGAAACAGCCCTCTCAGCTGCCGGTCCCCGGGCAGTGGCTGAAAAATTATTCCTTCCTGTGTCCTGAGAATTCCACCTGGATAGATGGCAGCTTTTTTCCTTCTACAAGGATATGGTGAAGCATGTCTTTCAGGTTTGCTGGGCAATGTCCTTGATCTCTAAACACTCCGAACCCAGACATGCTTTAGGCTTCCCCCAAAACACAGGTTCCTTTAATTCCCTTATCTCTTCATTATGCTCATGAAGGGACCTCTCTGGCTGGTGCTTCCAGTCTTGCTGTACCACTGGGGATTTCTTATTTTATTATATGCAACCTCCTGTGTCCCCAATCTACATTCAGTGTTAAGCTTTAAATTCCAGTAAAGTCTCCAAGACTTTTTTTGTTCACCCACCTTGCTGAGAAGCTGCCTGTCTGCTTTCTTGGTTTTATTCCCTGGAGAAACCAGGAAAGCAACCTCCTCTATTCTTTCATCATGAAAACCTCCTGCTAAAATTATTTAATGTTTCACCCCAAATATTTCCCATCCCTAGTAATCATAAATGCACAAATCCAAGTAGGCAGAGCCCTTTGGTTTTCTGGAATTGGCTTACTTCCATTTCCATGTGTTGTCTTAAACCCTTCCTGGCACTCCCTGATGCTTCTGTCTACAGAAATGTTCCTTAATACTCAAGGGTATCATTTCTCACCTTCATCAGTCTTCTTTTACTGTCTAGACCACATTTTCTTCTGCCTTTTCTGAATTTTTGAACAAATATTGCTACATGAATTTATAAATTATTGAAATAGCCTTTCCTTATGTCAGATAGTTGTGTCTTATTGCTATATGTTTATTGTAAGCTACTTCAATGAAAAAAATTATTTATTTCCTCCAAAGTACCTAGAATAGTTCATCATTCAAATCTAGATTTGAACTGAATTTAGATTTTATTAATGAATTGTGTTTATTACTAAATAATCCTGAATGAGTATAAATTTGATGTGGTTTACATTCGGTGTGATTTAGCTATCTTCCTCTTCTGTAATTTTTGTACCCATCTTTTTTCAGGATACAGTGGTAGCTCTCCAAGCCCTGTCCAAATATGGAGCAACAACTTTCACAAAAAAGTAAGATGGCAGTTTCAGTCACTGTCAAATCTTCTAACACATTCTCTGAAGAATTCCACATAGATGATGACAATCGCCTGCTGCTGCAGGAGGTCATGCTGTCTGAGATTCCAGGGGATTATGACACCACAGTGTTGGGGTCAGGATGTGTGTACCTCCAGGTGAGACTGCCACGGTGTAAGGGATGCTGAGAGAAAGTCTCAAGAGTAAATTCTGAATGTTAAAATAGGAAATGTGTGCTAACAAAAGAAATGAATTGTTTGAAAGTTATTGTTGAATTTTTTGTGTGCAAAGATGAAGTATTTCCCTTTTTTTTAAGACTTCACTAAGATATAACATCCTTCCCAAGAAAGAAGGGAAAGTTCCCTTCACTCTGCATGTTGATTCTCATCCCAAAATTGTGATGGAGTAGATGCTCACAGGAAATTCCAGATTCATATCAACATTAGGTAAACCCTAAATCACAACTAGACTTTTTTGTAGAATATGAAAACTTTTTTTTCCTTGTATTGGGGGAACTCTATTGTCCAAATTAATTATGTAATGGGTATGGAAGTCTTGTAATATGTATTTATAAGAAAATTGTCTTCACCCTTACTGAAAAGCCTTAACCTTAATAATATATTGCCATAACTGAAGAGTAGAGTTGACAAGGGTGGGTTTGTCAAAGAACAATAACACAGATACAGTAGATAGAGAAACTGAGTGGTACAAATAAACAAGGGGAAACTTCTATCTTCAATCAATTCCAAGGAATTTTATTTGAAGGTTTATCACTCTGCCTTACTTCATAGTTATACTGGCGAAAGACCCAGCTCCAACATGGTTATTGTGGATTTGAAGATGATATCAGGCTTCAGTGAAAAAGGTAAACCCAAAATGTCTTACAGATAGCAATCCCATGATAAATTGTGATATTTACATTGTCAACTTGATTTTACTAATGTCCTGGATCTTGCAGCTCTAAAGTATATTCCCATAGTTTTAGTGTGGGTTGGAAGATTATATGATATCAGTTAAGGTAAAAGTCATAAAAATGAAAAATAATGTTCTAGAAGGCTTAGACATCTAGGTATGTGCAGATATACTGAGTTACCTTCCAACTACACAAAAAGAAAAAAAGAGGGTATATAAGTTAACTGTCACATATACCTATAGGATATAAATGTATATTCAATATATATCATATATATGGATATATGAGAGGAATAGGATCAATAAATATTATCATTATTGTTATTCCTGAAGAAATAAAAAGTAGTAATTTGAATGCTCCAGAGAAGTCATTTTGATGATAAATACCTAAAAACTGCTCTCAGTATAGAATTTCTTCATGTTTCTGGCTTATCCCCTTTGTCCATAGCTTCAAGAACAGCCTGAGATTCAAAGGACTGAAGTGAGGACCAATCCTGTCGTAATCTACCTTAGGAAGGTAAGACTTCATAAGACTCTGCTAGGTCTGTAAAACTAATAGAAGTTTTAATAAGTCTATCCAGACTCCAAATAATGCTTTTCACATACACAATGAGGAAGGACAAAAGAGTCACAAAGGGAAATGGGACAACTGGTCAGCGAGGTTCACTTTGCTCCATTTGACTGCCACAGAAATTTTGTCCTTCTTTTTATGTCATTGGGTATGTTAAGCAAGTCACAAAATTCCCCATTCTTTCTTAGATTTTGATAGGGATATAAAGTACAGTTATGGGATTTGGTAATATTTTAAGAAAAGGAGATGGTAACAAGTAAAAAAGCTAATGTTTGATTCCAACTCATTTTTCCTGTCTCTCCAGCTAACCAATCAAGCCCTGAGTTTCTCCTTCTTGGTGGAACAAGACATGCAAGTAAAGAATTTAAAACCAGCTATAGTAAAAGCCTATAATTATTATGAGACAGGTGAGTGAGATTTACATATGCTGAGCTTTAATACAAAAAACTAACACCATAAACAGTTGCATTAACTGATATGAAACTCCAAGATATTTCACTGGAAGAAAAGGCAAGTTTTGGTCACTAAAAAATCATGTCCCTGTATATTAATCTCACATTTGCTCCCTAAGAAAGTTTTCTTGACACATGAAAACTCCCTGTGTTTGCAACAAGAGGAAGCAATTAGTGATAAAGGCACATCTTAGCCACTGGACACATGTGGCCACTTCTACTTCCCATCTCTTCAGAGGAAGTCTACTCAACCCTCACATTCCCCCGTTTGTAAAGAAACCAGAAAGAGCTAATCAAACAAATCCTCCACTTGCATCTCTTGATATGTATGAGGAAGAAAAATGCAGCAGTGTTCAGGGGATATTCACCTGTGTTTTTTCCCCACACTGATCCCCTCGTTTTGTTGGTTGGTTTGGCTGGTAAGTTGGTAGGTCTCCTAAGAAATTTTGTCTCCAAATAAATCCAGAGCCCAAGCTGTGAACTTCATTACTCTTTTATGCCTGAAAGGAGAAGGGTCCAGGAACACTTGAGGGAACTCATATTCTAAGCTCAGGTGTCCGTGAAATCAATACCTGAAAAAGGATAAGCCTGGAATCACTATGGTTAAATTATTGGAAAATCAATTCCTGAACCCAGAGAGAGAAATCTAGGATTTGAGGCAGAGTTGGATTAGGGAAAGTGAACTCTTAGGAAGTGAGACCACTCTTCTGCTACCAGACTCCTCCCTTGGCTTTTCCTGGCTCTTCTGGTTTCCTCTAATGCTATAGCAGCAGAGGTGAAAGCCAGCCAGACAAGTATACATGTGTTCACATGTGCTGTGCGCATATGTGTGTGTGTGTGTGTGTGTGTGTGTGTGTGTTATACATGCATGCTCAGGTGCATGGATGTGTACATAATAGGCATGAGTATCTGTTGGTGGGGAAGGTTGCAAGGCTGTGTGTATGCATGTGTGCCTGCACACCTGTGCACATACATTTGTTTGTGTATGTGTAGGTGTGTGTTAATTTGGAGTGTAAGTCAAGGAAGGAATGTACCCTTCTTTTGCAGGGGAATCTTATTCTCACTATCCTTCTATGCAAAAGGAAACATGAAAAAAAACACCACTTCACCTTTAAGAAAAATTATGAAAATAAAGTAATATAGTTCTTTTTATTATCCACACATTCAATCAAGACCCAGCCCCATTCATGGAGAGCAGAGGGGCCAACCTTGCAGCCTGGATAGCAGCATTTATCCCCCTGCAATTGCTCTCCCTTTCCTGTGCTACTGGATAGACCTCCATTTCCCACCCCAGCAAAAAAAAAGGACTAAAATGTGCTGAGGATTCTCTCAGATGAATGAGTTGAACAGAGGGGGTATAGAGAAGGGGGCAAATGCCCCATACACTTTGGGCTATTGACTTTGATGCCTGTGGAAGAAGAATTTAGCTTCTGGACTTGCATCTGATACTCCTCCTGGGGGTGAGGACAGGGCTCTCAGACTGCAATGCCCCTAGGGGGGCCTGGACTCAGAATAAGGGGATTAGTTGCTCAAAATCAAGTCAGGTCCCTCCCAATCATATATCCTGACCTTATCTGAGCCACACCTCCCCTGAGGTCTTTCAACTAAACCCTCCAAATGTAATGCCCAGTTTCCTTGTTCCCTCCCCCTGATCAAAATCCATATTTCTCCACATTTACTCCTCTTCTTCAAATTTAGAATAGCTTCCTCAATATTGATGTGATTAGCAAGGTACATTGGGAGAAACAAAGGGCATCTTTAGTACAGAGACAGCCAGTATCTGCATTTCCTAGAGCTTCCATAACAAAGTACTGAAACTTTGTGTGACTTTAAACAGAAATGTACTCTCTCATAGTTCTGGAGGCTAGAATTCTTAAATCAAGGTGTTAGCAGGGTCATTTTTCTTCTGAAAGCTGTTGGGAAGGATCCTTTCTTGCTTCTTTCAGCTTCTAGTGGCTTGCTAGTCATCATTAGTGTTCCTTGGCTTGCAGTATTAGAGAAACAATGATCTAAAAATACTTATTAAAGCATGGGAAGATACTTTATCCAGGACCATCATAATAGGTATAGAGACTATTGCAATAGGGTCTTAGGCTGGGGCAGAGGACAGGGAGAGACTTTACTCAACTCCAAAAATCATGAAAGCAAGTAGGAATTCATAGCCAAGCAGCATGGGACAATGTGTATAGAACATGATTAAGAAGAAATATCAGGGTTGAGGGTGAGTCTGGCTAAACTAACAGGATTCTTGTTGGAGATAGACCAGAGTGGGCAGATATCACCCAAGAATGATAGAGGATGAGGACGCTGATCAGAAATGAAGGATGATCAGATATTGGAGAATGGGATGTTCTTGCTAAACTGACATAACAGGGTTCTTTTCCAGCACAGGATTTGACAAGGAGGAGCCCAATGGGTCTAGGACAGCTCAGGAGCCATACAGAAGACTGGCCAGAAAATCTTGTTCAAGAAAAAAAAAGAGATTTCTTTTTAATAATACAACTCCATATTCTCATTGACTACCTTCTATTTATGAGGACCCACAAACCATATGTAGGATTTGGTAACAGAGGATATTTGCTGTTTGATGCTCACAATCAGGCATTTAATGAGGAGGAATTCCCATGAAAGTAAAGAAAAACAGTGGGAATTCCAGTGTCTGAATCCAGAGGGAATCCAGCTGAGATTTCTCAATGTTAGACTCTAGGATGACAGTGACAATCCAACAGATGCCCTGGTTTACCATTTGAATATCTCTGGGGATGACATCAGATGTTCTGATTAACTTTCTGAGTGACTCACAGAATGACCAACTCTCTTTATTATCTAGAACACATCTAAAGGATTGTTCCACATGTTAGCCACATCAGAAATCTCTCAAGTGAGTATGATTTACCTTTGTATTTAGCCATTTCTATTCTACTACAATTATGCTCTAAGCCAAAGCTACATCTAACTCTTCTACCAAAATACAAAGGACCCATGTGAAAAAGTCTTCCTGATTTTTCCTGTAAGTTCATAAACTTATTCTGTATTCTAATTACTATTTGACTTTATTTTATTTTATAATATTTTATATTTGCAGTAGTGAGGATTGAATTCAGGGCATCAAACATGTTAGGAAGCATGTTGCCACTCAACAAGACCCCAGGCTTTTTATTTTATTATGAGATAAAGTCTTTTTAAGTCACCAATGTTGGTTTCAAAATTATGATCCTCTTGCTCCAGCCTCCAGAGTAGCTGGGATTACAGGCCTGCCTAAGGATGCCTGGCTCTAATTGTTATATATATATATATATTTGCATAGGTTAAGAGCAGAGAAACTTGTGAGTTTTCTTCATTTTTTTTCTTTTCATAATAAAATCTTATAGTATTAATGCTTTTAAACTCTGTACCTTCACAACTTTTAGTTGAGCACATTGGGCATTAACAGGAACCAGGTTCACTTCTGAGCTGCTAAGAGGTGACCTGCTGCATGGGATACTGGGTTCTGTGTTCTCTAGAAAGGTAAGAATAAGGAAGAAGTGTAATACAGAATTGACTATCTGATTCTTCATTTTTCAATCTACTGAACATTAACCTACATTAATTAGGCCAAATATATTCTTCTGGATAATGGCAAGTATGCTTTTACATTGACTTTTTCTAGATTGAATGTTTGATAGTTGCTGAGTAACTGAATGTGTCAGTATTTCTATTTCTTTTCTTGCTTTCTGATCTTCTATCTCTTGTGGTGGGGGGCAGTAGCTATGATGAGAACTTCCTCTTTCCACAGCTTTGGGGTTTTTTAACAAAGTTGCTTCTCAACGCTTTCTGCCTCTTTTTCTGGGGTTGAAGTAGCATGTTTTTCCTTCCTGTCCCCTGACTTACATGACATCCAAGTCTAACACTAAAGAAAGATTCAGAATATGTCTAACCTCCAAAGGAAACACAAATGTCAGAATTAGAAGGGAACACCATGTGCAGTAGTGAACACCTGCAATCCCAGAAACTTGGGAGGCTGAGGCAGGATGACTGCAAGTTCAAGGACAATACAGGCAATTTAGCAAGACCCTGTCTCAAAATAAATATAAAAAGGGGCTTGAAGTCCTAGCTCAGTGGTAAAGTGCCCATGAGTTCATCCCCCAATGCCACAATTTAAAAAGACAAAAAAAATATCATTAGTGTGTCATTGTTGGTTCTTTGCTAACTGAAGACGAAAAATTTTGATAGTTCTATAGAACTTTTCTAGTTCCCCCAGTACTGGGGATTGAACCCAGAACCATGCTAAACCAGTGTTCTACAATAAGCTATGCCCCCAGTCCACTGAGGCTCAGTGGTTGAGTGTTCCTGAGTTCAATCCCTAGTACCAAAAAAAAAAAAAAAGAAAGAAAGAAAATAGAAAAGAAGGCCAGAGTTTCTCTGATCATTACCAATATCTATTTTTGTTTATCCTATGAATGAATCCCCTCCTCAGCATTATCTCATTTAAAATCTCAGCAACTTGAATCCAAAATCTATACCTGCCATTATCCTTAACCTCACAGCTGTGCAATCCATGAATTTAGATGGTGTATTGTCTATATTAAAATGTTCTCTTCATGAGAAAAGAAAAAGTTAATTGGATAACAGTAATTATGCAAACACTCAAGCCTTTGCAACATTCCAGAGCTTTTGCATGGCTCTCACCTTCCTTCATGCACCCTCACAGTTCTAGTGGCCATTCATTTCTTTGTGCTGCCATTGTGACAGATTGAGGAAACCTGACCAGAAGTTTGTAACTTTCTTAATGTCTTCACCATATGAGAAGCAAGGCTGTATAATTTGAGTTATTCTGGTTTTTCCAAGTTCTCCCATTTTGGGGACCCTACAAAACAGTCTTGGCAGTCTTTCTGCAAGAGCTGTACCAATTATTTACTTCATGAGGCAGGCTGGGAAGGGCCTTGCAACTGTCAGTGTTTGGCCTGTGC